ACAAAACAGTGCTACACATTTATTGCACACAGAAAGACATTGCAAATAAAGATTTCGAGCCCGCAAGAGACCATCGCGAGAGAGAAAAAACGAAAAGAAAACAGTGCTCGGGACCCGGTTAGCAGAGAGTTGCGATGCCGCACAGCACTTGCCCAAAAAAAAACAAAAAAAACTTGCAGTTACTTTTTGCATCCAATGAATGCATGGCCGTTTGCTTGAGCTGACCGCCCTCTATTCGCTCACCCAACATCGAGATGCCATCAACAGCGAGCACATTGACAGTTGCTCTGTTCAGACCTACAGCCAGGTTACCAGGATTGCCATTCCCATCAGTGTGCTGAATACTGACACAAGGACGTTCCGATGTTCTTCAGTAGTGTGTGGGCGTAATTGGGCTCAGGTGCATCCAGGCTGGGTTGAAAAAGCGGTCATATACATAAAGGAGAGTCCGAGTGCAAGTATGTTCTGAAAATCAGTGTTTCCCACAAAGGAACAGCCTTACCCTCACATTGACGGTGGGAAGTTATGATATTTAACTATCTATGTAGTATGTAGATGAGGACAAGTCAACTGGCACATTATGCCAAGCTCCTGAGCATTAGATACAAAGTATTATATTATATTAAACCCAAGCAGCGTCGCGTGCACTAAAAGACACAGAATAGGTGCCTTAGCTCAGCAGCTTTCCTTTCCTTTCTACTGCAAGCTTGGCAGAGAGCCACGCACAACGAAGGCAACTTCCCCAGACTGGTGCAAGTGCTCAGTAGAGATACCATACATACCTCCATCTGCAGTGTTCGACGAGCCCATTCGTCGAGACGATGAACTTGTGATGCTACCCATTTCGTCACCAAGCCCACAGCAACCTTGTCTGTGTCATACGGAACTATCTCCCTGATTAGGCCCTTTCCACCATCTGCAGATTTGGCAGCCTCTCCTACCTGCAACATTGCAATCCAAAAAGGCCGGTCATCAAATCGATAGGATTGAAGAGAGCGCTTGTACTCACCCTCACTGTAGTTCAAAGACTCTAAAAAAACAGTCCTTCGGGACATCTGTTAAAATTGGAATGATACAGAGAAGGTTAGCATGGGCCCTGCGCGTGGATGACACACACAAATCAAGAAATTGTCCAAATTGGTTAAAAAAAAAAAAAAAAACAGATTCTGAAAAAACAGCATGCATACAAGAATCCTGACATGGATGGCACCCCGGTTTCTGCCAAATCATCAGTCCCTTTGAGAAGAACAGAAGGGGGTCGGTCTACAGAAGACATGCTCGGTTTTGTGCCTGTGTTCACGACTTCCAAGGACTTGCTTGGCAGCAGAAACCCATCAAACCATTGCAAGTAGTGGGCAGTTAAGGGCCGCAGGTCAACGTTTGATGAAGGATTGGGAAGAATCGGGGGGCAAACTCCTTGTATTCAAATCCCAGCTCCCGCTGCATGAGCTATCTAACCCACGAATGTTGGTGCCATGGCTATCATGATTGAACCCTGTGCATGCTCCATGGCATAATTAACCTAGTCTCCTCCCATGATCAACAGTCATCTAATTGTGTGTGTGTGTGTGCTGTCGGCTGTCAGAAGAACAACCCCTTTTCCACATCTATGTTTTGATGAATGTTCTAATCGTATTTCGTAATTTTCGTTTCGTTGTATTCTGAATGGTGCAAGGCCCACCACGTCCGTGTACCTAATAAGCATTCATGGGATCCATGCACACCCGTTTGCCTTGCAGCCGATCTGGACATCGTACTTTCTCTGTGTTCCCTTAGTTCTGCCCAAAGGGTTGGGAGGAGGGGAAAAGGAGGGAGACGAGGAGGGGAGCCGAGGGAGGAGAAAAGCAGGGGAAAGAGGAACCGCATCGGATCCTCGATATTCCCCGGCAGGGCAGGCTGCTATCGACTGGGACAAGAAGCGAGTCAGGGGTGGGGTTGCGGAGAAAAATGAGCTGAGGAGCAGGCATTGCCTTCAGGTGAGGTCTGTGGAAGCACTGCATCGAATTCTCGCAGTCGCAGTCACTGTTTCGAATGGTGCAGAAAAGAGAGATGTGACACGCAACACAGCTCAGGACATGCTAGGAACATGGGTACAGAAACCTCAGCTGCATGGACACTGCCATTCCAGCCCTTGCTTACAATGAGAGGGTGTCGGAGACGAGTACAATGTTGGCTGCCACTACACGTCTGGAAACAAAAAACTCGCATGGGCTATAGCCGCTATACCCTAAAAATCCTCAGGACACAAAGAATGGCGATCGTCTGCTAGCCAAACATCGGATTGGTCATCACAGTCCAGCATTGCGCAAATTTCTTGGGAGTTCACTTCCGAAATTGCCTGTCCATGGACAGGCGGTGACAGGGCCTGAACAAAAAGTAAGGGTGTTTAGCAATCGCTAAATCTGGTCTGTGACTTCTCGCCCTGGGGCCGTAACCTTTCAGCGCAGCACATTACAGGTGGTTCATGTGAGAGTTTGTTCTCCCCCACGCTGCTGTGTCTGCTTCCCATCCGGCAAGGGTGGAAATGGTTTTATGAGGGGCCCCATAGAAGAGGGCAACCCATAGATAGCATCCATTATCATTTCAGTCACTTGGTTAATGATGCATCTTTTTTTCTTCCAAACTCAGCACTGACTAATCTTAAGTTTTCATAAGTTGAATGATTTTGTGTACTTCACTATTTTGTACTATTTTAGTATTTTCACTTCATTTTGGAAAAGAGCTGGCTTGATCACAAAATCCAGCTCTACTCCGGTTTTTTATTATATCTCAGAGAGGTGCTTCCGTTGTAATATTGGTTTTTCCAAGACTGACAAGTGTAGACAAGAATATTAACTTTATCGCCAATTATAGGTACGGCTGGAGGAAGTCCAGCATTTCATATGCGGGACATAAACGAAGAGGATGCACTGCATGATGGCATCAGGGATAGTGGTTGCAGTAAAGACACAGTCTCCATGACAGATTCCTGGAAACATTGATGACACGTGGCATGTTGCTGGCATGCCAGCAGGAAACCAGGCCAAGTTGACATTCACAGTTATTCAAGCATGGCATGTCAAGACCACCACAGCATATCCCACAAGTAATAAGTGGGCGGGGGCGATGCGTGAGTGCAGGACAATGGGTCACAGTTTTCACGGCAGAGGCTGGCAGTGACCATCCCTTCATAGTGTTTGGAGCAGAGAATGTGTTGTGCGCATGCTAACCGAACCGTGCCTGTGTGGAGACAAAACGGCATGGCGCAGTAACCGTCCTCCCAAGGGGTCCACTCTCTATCCGTGGCAGAATCCATTCGATATGCTGAGGCAAGGGACGCTGTCTGGGCACGTTCACAGGAGGGGGGAGGGTCGGCAGGATTGTTCTCCGGAGTCTGTAAAGCTTGTCAAGTGCATATCTGCATACTGTTTCCTGATTAACCAGCCAGAGCGAGTGCAATTCTGCCCACTCGGAGATAGCAAGAGTTAATTTTTCCCACCGAGTGCACCCTACCGCCATTATCCCACAGGATCCATGAATTATCCGCAAATGTAACAGCACTGAAATGACCCGGACGACGCAGGTTGTGCACACAAATATTTGTGTGGGTCCATTTCAGGCATATACTTCTGCAGAGCAGCCTGGAGTTACAGTCGTCTTCAATAAATGCCATAGACAGTATTTTCTATGTTCACGCCAGCCGCAGCACTGTCATCCTCTGGGCAGACAGCACAGTGCTCCTCTTCTATCCAGCGGACAATGTCGGCAAAACCAGAAACAGTATAGGGGTCGCAATTGTAAGTGAGGAGACTCGCATTCATGGCGTAGTATGCACAATGGCCACACTGTAGCACTAATGAGATCATTTAATTCTGCAGATTGCACAACAGGGGGAGGTCCATTCTCGTCTTGACACTCTCTGTCAGGCTCCTCTGGATGTAATGACTCCATTGGCTCTGGCATGTGTTCCCAAGAGAGATCATCTCCATTCGCGTTCAATTGACTGATCAGAGGGTGCACCATTGTCAGTCAGAGTGGGGTAACCACCTGGGCGAAGTGGATTAGAAGTGGGGGGGTCAGATGCAAGAAGCAGAAGCCGATCAGCCCCAATTGTACACAGAGTGGCTGCTAGTCGTGCAAATGCAGCACAGGGGCACGACGATCATGCTGTTCATGTACAGACGAGGCGGCTTGTTACATGCCCAGTTGCGCGATGTACATATATAGCCAAGGATCCGCAATGTGATGAAAAGGACTGAATGGACAATGCAGTGTTAGTAGAATCTCAACAAGCAGTGTACATCCTGATACATACAAAAATGGTGCTTTGTAGCGCAGTGGAAGACTTAGATATAAGTCCTGACCTGACCGGGACTGACCTCCCTTATGTAGTACAAGACAGAGCAGCAGAATGCTAGAATACCAATGACTAGCCCAATCAATGTCGCAATGCAGACCAAACATACATCATCCTCATCACAAGGTGTGAAGGGGCCTGGCGCTACACACAGGAAGAATGCGCCAGGTCCAGACCATACACAGACGAAGAGGAGGGAATCAGACGAAGAAGAGGGGGGAGATGGGAATGTCGTTAACACCAAGTCTTCGGTACAAGTCCCAGATAATCCCTCGTCAAATGTCTGAAGCCCAAWGTCGAGTCTGGATCCAAATGTCACCAAGCCCGCTCTCTCRTAGTCTGCTGATGCMGTGAAGTCAGGTAGCGAGAGGGTGAGAGGGAGATGGTGGACTGAGAAGAGGAAGAAGAAGAACTCTCTCTCTCTCTCTCTCTCTCTCTCTCTCTCTCTCTCTCTCTCACGTGCCAGGTACTGACCTGCGAAGATGGCACTGTGATGCAGGTACCTCGAAGACGAAGCTGGAGTTATGGCGCTGCAGATAAGTCTCCCTGGCCTCCGCCCAATCTCTCTCTCTCCAGTACTACTTTAGCTCCTACTAGCGCCCAGCGCTGAAGAGTACTGCTAACGCTACTACTACTACTGCAGCGCTCCTCCAGAGTGCTGCTGCGGAATCCTGAAGACTACCTCCTGCCTCCTGAACTGCACGTGAAGTGCCTGGGAAGTCCCTATGAACTACCTGCAGCCTGCAGGGCAAGCCAGTCTTATATACTGCTGGCCCGTCCATGAGGCTGCTCTTGCCAGTGCCAAAACGTGCCAGACCCTGGCGTTGAAGCTCAGACAAGGGTTGTCTTGAAAACAGGCCCAAAATGGCCTGTGCTAAAACCCTGGTCGGGTGAGTTTCAGGGCAGGTCGATCTTATGAGGGCCTGAAAATGGCCCTCCTTTTTAGGCTGAAAAGACTCAGGGCCTGGAGGGCCCTGTTTTAGGCTGAAACGACACAGGGCCTGTAGGCCCTTGTTTTCAGGCTTTCAGGCTGAAACGACACAGGGCCTGTAGGCCCTTGTTTTCATGCTTTCAGGCTGAACGACACAGGGCCTGAAAATGGCCCTTGTTGTAGGCGCAGCATGTAACACCGCTGCCTGGGAGGGGTGGTGGAGATGAGAAACATCTCCGCCAAAGAGGCATCTGTGACGGACAATCTGACCATGAATGTGTTGATGTTGGGGATGATGACGAGCAGGTTGAATGCAAGAACGATGACAACAACGACAATGAAAAATGTGGGTGTGTGGGTGTGTGGGTGTGTGGGTGTGTGGGTGTGTGGGTGTGTTAATCTTTCCACATTCACAACCAGCCATATCCTCTATCATTAGAAGAAGTGTTCATGGGTGTTTTTTTTAATATACAAAGAGGATTTGCTCCAATCTATAAGTGGTTGGGAACCGGGACCAACGTCCCTTGTAACACTTTTGAGGCCGGGGTCCTCACAATCTACCCGGGAGAAACATAGATTACCAGGAGCGTTACCCGGCTTCGCTTATCAAAGAGATCGAAGTAGCAAAAGTGACTTTACTGAAGGACCAAAATATAGAGGAAAAGAGGACGAATCAAAAATGACTTTACTGAAGCAATCGATTTAGGAAGTAGGGGGAGTCAATAATGAAGTAGCAACCTGGACCGAAACAAGTTGGGTTTGAGGGAAGAATCCTCCGGGCCCTCTCGGCCATGTCGCTGCCTGAACTCGTGAGGGGCTAGGCCTTGGGAGGAGTGGGAGAGTTGTAGGGGTCCGAGGTGCCTGCGGTTATGGGCATCAGGTATTCTTGGTACAGCGGCAGTTCTATTCGATATATCACATAATTTGACAATAACAAATGCAATAACAACGATTGATACCTCATGGGGAATTAATAATTCCTAGCAAACATGCGACTACCCAGCAAGGTAAGAATGCTCACATGCCACTAAGCCACTTGGAAAATATTTCAAACTGATCAAAAATGCCTACAGACCACAGAAACTGTGTGCATCCCTCCGAGAGGGAGAGAGAAAGAACACAGAGGTTGAGAGGACTGCAGTGGCTGCGGGCAGAGCTCGCACCTCAGATTTCTGCATGGGATGTGCAAGTTTTTCAGCACACATGCTTCTCAACGTCAATGCTGCCTCTCAAGTCTTAACCATGCAGTGCCAGAGCCTCACCCACTGTGTTGACCTGTGACCTATCACAGAGACATGTTTCTTTTTCTTTCTCAGTCTCTTTGCTTCCCAATCAGACAATCACAGACATATGTTTCTTTTTCTTTCTCATTCTCCTTATATCAGGGGCTCTGATTTCTACTTAGCCCATGCCCATTTTTTTGGTTGCATACAGATCACATAGCCAATGCAGGTACAGGCAACGACAGGCAAAATCCCACAGCAACAGTGCCTTACAATGGCATTACAAGGCAGTGGCAGGGCATCAACCAATGCCATGCCCTCAGCCCATTGCGTCGTCATAATTGTAACCATAATCTAACTGTGTTTATAATTTCCGACGACAATATAAAGTGCTGTTGACTTTTCCAATCTCGCCAGCATAGACACCGGTTTGAGGCGACATGACATCTAATCTAGTCCTTGGTGACAATGGTTGGCGCTAACCCCCTTTTTTCTGCCTTGAAGGCAAGCTATGTAGCAAATGTGCTGCGGGACGATCAGCGATCTTATCAAAGCAAGGAGGCACGATCGGCTATGTAGCAAATGTAGCAAATGTAGCAAATGTAGCAAACATAGGCCTCTGCCAGTTGAAAAGCAATGCTGCAGGACGATCAGCGATCTTATCAAACCAAGGAAGCACGATCGGCTATGTAGCAAATGAAGTGAATGTCAGCCCCTACCATTTGAAAAGCAAGGAAGGACGATCGACGATCTTATCAAAGACGATTGGTGATGTTATCATTTACATTCCAAGGACAGAAGTCTGCACTTACCACTGTCTTCACAACTGTCTTTTCTAGTGCATTTGCTTCCCGAAGGAGCTGCACAACCTCCGAGTTGAGGGCTGTCACATGGGTCATGTACTGCTTGATCTCCAGCCGGAAACAAGAATGCAAAGTAACTGCAGCAACTCCCGCAGGATTTGGATGCGATGCCACGAAGGTGGAGGAATATGACTCAACCTCCTCCCTGAGGACCTTCTGCACACCCTTTGCCAAGTTTGCAAGCACTGCGCCCTTCCCAGCATTTTGTTGACGGCTCTCTTCCTCCAGTACCTGTGCAAGGCAGCAATCAAAACAAACAAAGCTAAGAAATTTCAAATTCGAACTAGTCAGCCATCATAATCGAATCGGCAAACAAATCAGACGGAAAGATAAGCAATCAATGTCCTGGTCAAGAGGAAACAACATCAATCGATAGATGCACTGGCTGTTGAGGGACACATAGCCAAAAAAAAGATGTGCTGGCCACTAGTTGTAAAGGGGCAGAAGGGGTGGAAGAGGGAGCACGGGAAGGAGGGAAAAATAACACTTGACATGCTAGCTATATACGGAAACGCAAACCAGCGCCCTCACATTGTGTTCCCATCAACAACAATATACTAAATATAGCGATGTTGCCCTGACAAATGAGTGCATGTATGTGTCCTTTGGGGACATCCCATCCGATAAATTGGAATGACACAGAGAAGATTGATTAGCATTCACCCCTGCACAACGATGACACGCATAAACGAAAAAAACGAGTGCACATATGTGGCAGCCCCCACACTCTACTGAACCGTGAGAACCAACCGCATCCCACACAGCCTTGCATACAAAGCTGGCTGCTGGGACGCTGGTTGGTTCCGGCATGAAAAGGTATGGCTTTAAGTTTCTTGATATTAGCTATTGCGCAAAGCAGAATAGTGAAATGGAAATTTGTGTCCAATACCCTCTACATCCGTTTGTCACATGTGGCCTTGGGAAGTAACTTGCCGGATGCAAAATGTGTCACATTACAAAGCACAGCAGTGATTTTGGGAAACAGGAAACCAGTATTGGCAGGTAATCATAATCAGTTCGTTAGAATCGTTACACATGGCTTCCGAGTAAAAAAAAGTGTTGCACAACAACATGAAAGTGCACCACTTCACATCTCCAATGTGAGGCCAGCATTGTTGCCCTAACAAGCATAAGAGACTGATGAATTTCAAAGAAAACAGACCGCCATCCAAGGGAATATGGGAAAGAATAGGAAAATGAGAAAGCAGATGAGAAAGATGTAGAAGATAAAAAAGGGGTATAGTGCAGAGGCTGACTGACAGGGTGCACAGTTATCGGATCTGATCATCTGACACATCTGCCAGTATCCACTCACGTTCGGTCCCCTGCATACGGATATTCAAACCACCAGTTCACCCGAGCCTAAAACGCACGAGACAAAAAAAAACAAAAGCAACACCCAAGCCTAAAACATACAAGCCGAAAAACAAAAACAACCCCCCAGGGCTGAAACGTCACCCCTGCCGGGTCACAACGACTTGATTCAAATATGCATGCATTCAGTTTGGCGCAAACATTTTTTCATGGGCCAAATCATCTTTGCTTATTTGCTTATTTTTTTGTCTGATGCAGAGTAACCTAAGCAACATCCATGACTTTTTGGGGGGGAACCCTTCGTCGCCCGAACTTAGAATTGGAAATCGTCCCCTACTAGCCTAGCTCAGTTGGTACACCCACAAACTATTGATAAACAGAGTTCGAATCCAGCCGCCAACCGATGAACAGAAACAATTAATTCTGAATTACCTGGGCCCGGCCAAAGTTGGTACAGCTATGAAAAGGCAAAATAAAAAGTGCAGCCTACAATCCCACTCGCACAAAGGCTATTTCGTTTATGAGGCAAATAAAATGCACATGAGTGAATTGTTTGAGTGAAGAAAACCCGAAAAAGCAGATGATCACGAAAAAAAAAGTACAAGGACAGAAATACAAAGAGAGTGCCTGAAACATAGCCTGCATTTATGGATAATTCAAGCCAAACAGACGCAGGCGATCAAAAAAGGCAAAATGATAGAAATGCAAAGCTTGAAACCGGTGCACGGCAAAGAAGAGACCTTCAGTCAAAGTGGCTTTGAGTCTTTGAGAGCATAAGGGACAAGTCTGTTAGAGGGCAATCTAGTGGGTAATCTCAGATGGCAGTTTATGCATCAGAATCCAGCCTCTGTTGTCTCGAGTGCCATTTTCAAGTCAATGCACAACCGTCAGGTGAACCTGCCAAAACCAAGATACCAACCCGTAAACGGAGAAAGCAATCAGCACCCTTACCACCAAGACAAACCCAGTAATGATTGCAAGCCTCCATTTGTTGACCTAGTGGTCGTGCATTGATCTACGCTTCAAGCACCAATGAACGCCCCCGCTTTCAAGCATAGCCCTGCTGAAAAGTAGGCACGGGAAAGTACTTACCCGCTTGAACGCAGACCTCAGTGACATTCGGATATAACCCTCGACCTTCCGCGATATGTGTGCCTGCCTTGCCTCCAGCCCAGTTGCCGCACCGTCTGAATCCTGGGTATCTCCTCGTATATCTTCATTTTGTAGAACCTCATCCGAAAGCAATGCCACTTTCAGTACAGCCATCATCTCCCCCCCTCCCTCTCTAAACAGGCCTCGGTAATCGACAAGCTGCCGTCCCGCCCATGCCTCCACACCCCCAAGTAATTCCCTGACCCTCTTAGCATCCCCTTTCAAGGCCCAGGCCTTCATGCCCACCTCTGTACTCTCCTTGGCATCACTCGCGAGTGCCTTCAACTGCTCTATAGCTGAGACAAGCAGGTCAGTCTCCTGGCCACCGGTTGCAACAAACTGCCGTACTAGAACCCAGACAAAGGCTGCTGCATGGACCACTGCTGACAACCCCAGCAACCCCCATGCTGTCCTTAAGACGTCGAGGATTTCCTCAGCTTCAGACACCAGTACACTCTCCTCAAGTGAATCGAAAACCAGCTTCAGCATTGCCTCATAGATACACATATTCAACGGATACCCGTCAGCCCAGTGGCAAACATCTTCATTATTGTCGTCCGGCCCAAGCCTCTGCGACTTCGCTAACACTGTCGACCGCAGGTTCTCCATACTTTCGCTCTCTCTCTCTACAACCCCATGTTCATCAAGCTCTTCAGAAATCTCCGCTAGCGATTTCCTCAAGCCCAAGGATAGAGCATCCTCAGACCCTGGCACAGCCGGGCTATTTAACATGCCTTCTTGGAGCAGAAGCAGCTGCCTGCGCATGAAACGCACATACTCCCTTCCGCTGCTGAAATCAGAGGGGGAAACAGACAGGACAAGCTCCAAGGGGATTATCACCCCATCCTGTGATCTCTCGGCCTGCATCAAAATAAGATGGAGATGGCAGTGTCTTTTCAGTCTCAAAACCAGCGAGTTATGCCAGAGATAACTTGGCCCAGCAAAACATAAACAACCAATCTGGGCGCAACAGGTAAATGGCTCAAGCTGCCTCACAACCACAGCCGCAGTCGACCTCCACTTCACAGTCACAATCTCCCTTAGCAACTGTGATCATCACGCCCCCCAAACCATCATTTCGATCAAAGAATCCTCACCTACAGTACAATTCCAATTGCATTGACTACACGATACATGTTTCATTTGCTTGTTCATAAATTCAATTGTTTATTTATTTGTTTGTTTGTTCGTTCGTTTGCTTGCCTGTTTGTTGGTTGGTTGGGTGGATGGGTGGGTGGTTTATTTGCCTGTCTGTTTATTTGTTTTTTCCTCTATTTGTCTACGTGTTTGTTTTCCTTTTGCCTTCGGAGCTTCTTTCGTCCCAGAAAAGAATCACAGGCTTTTGGCCTTTCTAAGCATCTTTGTTTTCCGTTTTTTTGTTTTTTGTTTTTTGCTTTTTCGTTTTTCTTTTACAAAAAGACCAGAACCAGCTCTATTAGGGAAGTGATAGAAGCATCTCCAGCTAGCATGGCCTCCTCCAGTTGCTCCGATTTATTGATTGGGATGTGGGGGGGGAGTGATAGGAGCATCTCCGCCTACCATGGCCTCCTCCGGTTGCTCCAATCCATTGGTGGGGAGACACACCTGCTGGAAACCGGGTCCAGCATTCCAAGCGAGCAGAGCAGGAGACTTGCACCTCCAAGGCCGGCTCGGGAGATGAGGTATCTGGGTTCCAAATTCTCGTTTGCAGATGTAACCACGAAAGGAATCCAACATTTGGAGGCCATCAACTTCATCAAGGTTGACTCTCAAATTCACACCTTTTATCATACATTTTCAGACACATCCACTCCGGGATCCAAGGGAGTTCTTCCTTCAGCCTGTGTAGAGTAAAACCTGCTTATGTTAGGCACATACATAAAACCCCCACATCTTGGATCTGCTGCTGGGAGATAGGTTGTCCGCGTTTCTCCTGTAGAAATCCTCTACGTGCGAGTTCGTTACCATTAACAGAACATTTGGTGTTTTTTTATTCCTACGAGTAGGCTCGCAAGACTCAGAGCTGCGGAGCCTCTACTGGTCTGAAAAGCATGACTGCAATCAAGAAATTAGGTTTGGCCGTTAGCATTCCCAAGGGCCACGGAAAGAGAGGTCCGTGACAGTGCATCCCAAATGTATCACCTACTCCATGTAACCACCTGGCTCGCCGGAAGAGGCTGGCAGAGCAAATCGTTGCTCATTATACCATACAGACTTAGATCATTTGAATTAACGGCACATCCAACCGTCAAGTGGATAATTCAAATTAACGGCACAACCAACCGTCAAGCGGCCAATACGAGACGAACTCCACCCCCGTGTAGCGCCCGTGAGAGACGGGGGGGGGGAGCGAACGCATGGATGAGAGCCTCTATTCTAGTGGCTCTCCCATACCTACGTAGCTAGAAAAAGAGTTTCTGTTTTCCGTGCTGGGAGATGGGAACCTATATTCTAGCAAATTTGACCAGCAGCACTATTTTCCTTGTGAAATATGGCGGCAGCCACGGTGATAGAAGAAGGGCACCGATGCTCACTGGAGATTAACAGCCAAACAAAGGAGGGGAAAGGGATGTGAAAGTGCTGCCAGGCTTACCGAACCACATTCCTCGGTTCGTGTGTCTGACCATCCCCGCATAGGCCAAACACTAATCCTCCAGGCACCATTCTTGGACCCTTCTAGCATCTTTCTAGCACCCTCCTTTCATACATGAATTTTTGAAAGACTTTGGTCCTCGCTCCACCACTCTTCAGATCGTATGTTCCGAGAGTGGATGCCTGGCTCCACTTGCTCTTAAAAACTTGCAGGACCAAAAAGAAAAAATTAAGAGTCACTGCATGGAGGGGTTTCAAAAGTACTCTCCGAATTTGGCGAGTTCCCTGCCTGGAACTGCTTCGAAAAGGGAGGGGGAGGTTGGCCTGGCACCCCACCCACACTTCATTTCTCAAGAGCACACCTTGAGTCAGCACCAACTTGTCATACTCTTTTTTGGGGGGGGTCTGGACTCTGGACTCGTGGCTCCACCATCCAAACACGCTCCACGCAGAAAAAAAAAAAAAAAAGACACTCTCCACACCTCGAGAGTGGTTTGAGAGGACAACCATGGAGAGTTAGTGACCAAGGATCAAAAACCCTCCACACGAATTCGTGCAGGAAACACTCTCGAATCCTCTTGTGAATTCATGAGCGGTGTCCATGGACCCAAACCCGGGTGATCTAGCCCTTTCTCCTTGCAACAGATGTGAGCTCCGTATTCTCGGGAATCACACGTGTGGTTAACTGGGGGTGGTTTCTTTTCCACCGAATTTTGCGCCGAAACTGTCACATTGGCCAGAATTTATGGCTTCTTTCTTGTTTTTCTTTTTGTGTGATATGTAGGTGCTCTAGGCCACGTCCGTCATCCATCTGTCGGGAATCACCAGCTTTTGACGTGTGGTGGGCCTGAATGCCTCTCATCCCTACCATGTGTATCATGACGAAGTTCAAACGCTTTATGAAAAAGTAAAACGCCATAGAAAACAAAGCCAGCAGGAGCTGCTTTTGAAACTGTTAGGGGCTCTGTCCGCATGTACCTGCCCAGGGACGGTATGCTAAACATATGTAAGGCAGGAGCTGCTTTTGAAACTGTCCGCATGTACCTGCCCAGGAAACAGACCAAGAGTTCAAATCCGGTCCAATTCAATAACCTCTGCGGCCGACCTCTTCTTTCATAAAAAAGAAAAAAGAGAGGGCCTTGTCGTGTTTGCCTGGTGTTGAGAGAGCAGACAAAGTGAGACCCACAGCACCACATGTTCCAGCATTTGGAGGACAACCTGATCGCATCCATACATATGTGAAGGTAATCTATTGTTTGTGTCAGTAGTCCACCGTTAAACCACCAGTACCTCGCCCATACATCGGCCGTGGGCCCCTCACCATGACTTTTGGAGGCCGGAAACGAGACAAATGCCGTTATCAACGGTGGCCCATGCGAGCCGCATGTTTTTTTTTTGGGAGCGGGGAAAGGTAAACCACCAGTGACTCCAAACTTCATTTTCCCTATACTCGGTTTTGCCCACCCCTGGAGTACCCAACTGCTGTGAGGGTCGGGTCTGGTGGTGGAAGCAATACGTGTCACAATAATTGTTTTCCATCCAGATGGCACAATTTTTTCCCCAAATATTTGTCCCTAATACAGCATCCGCTACATACGTAGGTGATTTTTTTCACAACTTTCGTTGACGAAATGATAGTGGAAAAATGCCGAATTGGGGACACTCAAAATCCAGTGTCATCCTCCCTCACCCACCCAACCCTGGTGGGCCCGACTTGAAGAAGAAAGTAAGCAATGGTTGATTTATATGTGTGTCATCCTTGTGCAGGGGCCATGCTAATCTTCTCTGTATCATTCAAATTTTAACAGATGTTCCGAAGGACAGGTACGCAATGTCCACATTGCTTGTCACACACAATAGAAAGACCTTGCAATCTCTTACAGGCGGGTACAGCATCCTCGTGTTCAGCAGCGAGTTGCCACAGAAAACTGGGTGGGGTACTGGTGGTTTAAGAGCAGCGAAATCCCAGGGAAGTCGAGTCTCCATGGCCGGTTTAACCTGGCCAGGTGGATTCTGCAATTACTGCGAGAAAACGCCAAGGATCATCCCATACCTCCCCAGCAACTTCACGGACCTGGTTACCAACTTACGTATATGCCCCTGTGTACCAGCAAGAGATTGCAAAAAATTGAGCCCTTGTTTTTACCCCACCGCACAGGAGACCAGTACTGAGTGCCTGTGGGGCCGACAACAATACCCAGCTAAGTTCGTTGCAACTAATTGCTTCCCAGAAGCTTAAACCACCAGTACTTGGCCCAGCTATTGGCCGCGGAAAAAAATAGAGAAGAAGTGTTTCTAGTCGGATGAATTTGGCCGCTCCTGTAGTGGCCCATACGTTTCCGAAAGTCACGGCTTGTTTACAGGCGCAGCTTTAGGAAGTACTGGTGGTTTAAACCCAGGGCCTGTGTCAAGTCACCGAGGAATACGCGTCCTGTTAAGGTTCTGTCTAAGTTCCATTCAAGGTTCCATTTAAACCACCCGTACATCCCAGCTATTGGCCGCAGGCCCCTTTCGGAGGCCGCCCGCTGCTGATTCATTTTATCTACGGTGAGGCTCAAAACAGGTTCTCCAGTTGCCTGGGGCCATGCACTGGTGGTTTAAGCTCCAAAGCGCATCTAGCAAAACTGACCCCTGGTGAGAACGGCGCCTTTCCTAAGCTATTCACAAGAGCCATGAGAAGGTGGAAGAGAAGGAAGAGGGAGACACGCCTGGAGAGCAGAGGCATGACAAAGCAAATTGGCAAGCAAGCAATCAACTTGGATAGATACCAGACAAGGCGCTGGTATGAGAATCAGAAACAGAAAAGATCAGCCGGCATCCAAAAGATACATCTTCAAGTTCTCTGGCGTAATGCAAGAAGCGGCAACACTCCGCCACGGCAGAAGATGAGTCTGTCAGGAAAAAGAAAAAAGAAAAGGAAAAACAGGCAGCAGAACCCTGGTTGCTGAATTGGATAGTCTGCAGCCACTAAGCAGTAAAATCGTTTGCATAAAACCATATAGAAGGCCGCTCATGTGGCTCGATATCATGAAGATACCTGATTTCAGTGGCTGAAGATTGTCCAAATCAACCACCAGGGCATCGCCGCTTTTTGGCATCAGGGTCAGGAGCGCGTGAGAGAGGAGAGTTCTTCATCTTCTCCTGATTCTTCTCCGCTGGGCGGGGGGGGGAAGGGAAACCATCAGATGCAAGGCACCATCCCGGTGGTGGTGAGGGAACCGCCGAGATTGAGGCCTTGTCCAGTGATGGCTATTGGCGCTTTTTCTTTCTGAGCGGTAGGGAGTTAGACA